TGCAATGATTGTAGAGAGCATTAGGTAGGTTTCAAACTATCGTCATCAGTTTCAAAAATGTTTTATAACAATAATTAGGAATGTGTTTCACAAATCTTACTGTGAAACAACAATTTACTGTGAATAAAAAAATTTTCAGATGCTAAAATCAAATTGTTACAAAGAAGGTTCATAACTTTATATGGTTGATGAAAACACTATTATAATAATTCTGAAACTGAAAGAGAATTGAATAATTTTGGTGATGCACAAAAACATGTTTCTATAAGTTCTGAGTCAAAGAAAAATATAAAATAACCATTCAGAAAAATCTTTTAAAGAGTGTAAATTCAAATTTTCAATTTTTTTATTGACATTGAAGTTATTATACATAATTTTTCAATAGGCAAGCTAATTTTTGTTACACCATCACAGGGGTAGATCCAGAACATATTTTGGATGGAGGGTTGGAAGTACGGGGTGAAGGGCAATTTCAGTTCAGACCTTTATAAATATTTTTGATACTACTAGTATATTGATAGTGGGAATATTGCTCTGTTTGGGATGACATTTGTACATGGTAATTATTTAGCTAAATTATCATGGTCTCCGTGGTCCTCCTTTGGAGCCACACTCCACTAGCAGGCACGCACTTTACAGCAAATGAAAAACCGCATGAACTCCTAATGACACCATTTATTTAGAAACGTATAATTGAAAATGTATTACATTTCTCCTGGAGCTGATTACCTGGTATTGCTTATTGTTAGTGAAGAAAAATTATATTTAATTCATTATATTTCTAGTATTGTTATAACACCAATTTACCTTTGCACATATTCTGGAGTAAAAGGGAGTAATACTTCAAAACTCAAGGTTTCAAGTGAGAAAATATGTATGAGAACCAGATTTCAAATAGACAAAATCTGAACTAGACCATAAATCATAGAGACTCTGCATTATGTGCAAATGAACATTCTAATTTTGCTATGTGTTACGTGTTGCTAATGAATAAGCAGATTAAGACCCTTGTGATTAAATGATATGCAATATCAAATGGTTTGCAATCTTGGATATTATTTTCATATTAGGTTAAAAAAAAATTAAAAACTAGTAGCCCCCACATTGGCTGATTTACCTTGAAATTGATGATGGCCAGACAGACAGACTAATACAAGCAACTGAACCTCTGTTCACCAGCCATTAACATTTGTGGACAATAATGCAAGAAGTTTTAAATTAACCATCATTTTCAAGCACACTATTATATTTTTACTTGAGACAAATTCTTAGCTTAGGTTGTGAAACATTTTATACCCTTTATTATCCATATGTAATATCTTCCAATTTACACAACTAATGAAAGTCTAGAAAATGCATAATAACAAAATAATGTACAATGTAATATTAAGAGTTGCTGTTCTGGAAATAATTATTCCAGAACAAGATAAATAAAATGAACTAGCAGTGTTACACATTTTACTTCATGATGCATACCAGAGGGTCTTTTGTAGAAAAGACCGTTATTATTTGATAAAGGCTGGCATTTGGAAAAATAGAGCTTTAAGAAATAAAATTTTCTCATAAGAAACCAATAATGGCAAAATTGTCTGTGGTTTAATCCGTGGTTCAAGAATCCTATGGAAGATTAATCAAGAAATTTCAATGCAGTGTCTATGTATAAAAAAATTTATTGCTTACAGAAGAACAATACAATAACATTATTATTCCTTAATAAAATATTCTATATCTATATGAATATGTCTATGGTATAAAAGGAAAATATTTTCCTACAACAATTGCTAATATCAAAATGAGGTCATGTCACATTATTACTTAATTTTCCAAGAAACTTTGAATCAATGCTTTTTTCTGGCTTATGGCAAATGGCAATTTGTATTGAACAATGTAATAATAACCTGAAGAGAAAAGTAATAAATTATTATTATCATTCCTAGACTACTAAAACTGAGATTGAATTTTCATAGGTTGTATATGTGTTTTGACAAACAAAATTCAAAGAAAAAATTACTTTACTAGCATAGTGTAATTTTATTCATTCATGATTTTTTTCAAGTCTTGTAAAGCACCTTGAAACAATTTTTATTCAAAATTTACTTTCAAGTTATACAATTTATTTAAAAAAATTATTTTTATTTATAAAACTATTTCATGGACACACTAAAGAAAATGCAGTTTTGAGATTAAAAAAAAACAAAAAATTTAAAATGAACACAATGACACAAACTTTAGAAACTTACAGTATATAATTATTACTCATACTATACAAAAAGAACTGTAGCATTCAATTCAATTCAAGAATCACTCATTCATATTTCAGGGTTCTACATTCTATAATTTGTATGTACAAGTAAAAATATATCTACTGTATAGAAAACTATGCAACAGTCTCCAATGATACAATGTTACGTTTGAAGATCAGTTTCCAGATTTTTATGTTTTTGCTTTTCTCAGCACCAAAATTTGATTGCATCAGTGACCTGATATGAAAAGAATGTTGTACAAGACAAAGATCAGGGAAAAAATTATATCCAACTCCGATAACGTTGAGTTGCAAGTATAGTTCACCACACTCGACAATCCATAACACTATTTGTATTATGAAGTGAATATAATGTCAACATTATCTTTCTGGGCTGAAATGTAATTGAAGTGTTCAGAGAATAACATTTTCAGACATATTTACACATTCGTCTTTATAAATTCTCCTCCACATATTTTTGTTGCACTTTTTTTAAGGAGAAGATTTATATACACTCTTACTTCCAATGTTGTTATATTTGTTGACACACACAAAAATGCCTTGGGATGGCATGACAACTGAGCAATGATCTTTTTCTCATTCTGTTAAGAGTCTTAATAATTATATGGTCCATACTGTGAACCATGATAATAAGGCCCAGGATATGCTCCAGGAGCTGGGTATCCAGTAGCATAGGCGTACTGTTGCTTCTGAGGGTACACTGAAATAAAAAAGAGGTATGTCAGAAAAGTTGTGTTGTATTCAATATTAGTTCTGAGGCTTGTTTCAATAACTCAAATGTCAGTTAATGTTTCTAGGTTTCTAATCCAATCAATTAAAATATCATAGTTATTTTTTATCAATCAATGTAAGATAATTTGAATAAACGTTATTTATTTAATAGTGTTTGAAGGGTTTAAATGATGAAGCTTATGGTAGATGTCTGGAATCTTGTGCATACATTAAAACTACTGCTGCAATTGGAGTTTTTAAAGAAAGCCTCAGAATTCTTTGAAATTTTGCCATACCTGTACGTGTTTGTAATAAACTATTTATCCACATTGTTCGAGTATACGGAAGAATTGCAATGTTCAGTAATCACGATGGTGAAAATAACATTAATTAAGAGTATATAGGTAATATTAATAAAGGGTTTGATTTACCAAGAATTGTACAATATTATTCTTCTATTTTTTTAAAATCTTAATTTGAAGGTGAAAACGGAGATCTTACAGTATTAAAATAAAATATTCAATTAATTTATATTTTCATATAATTTAATATTGAAGTGATTATACTATATCAATTATTAATTTACAAAAACATTGACTTGCACATGACTATCACTGCAAACTTCTTCCATATTTGAACAAATTTGTACTATCCAGAAGGGAGATCAAATTATTTGTTGCTAGCTAAGTAAGTGCCAAAATGTTTCTAAATCTCCAACAATGTGCTCGTTCATTTTTCAGTTCAAGTGGTTTATGTTTTTGATTTGGAGAATTCTGAATTACAATACATTATTTCTGAAATGTGAGAGTTAGGACTAATAACAATTGTACAGAAGCAAAATTGTGAAAGAAAAGGAAAGTATTTTGAAGGAATTGTCAGAAATTTTAACTAGTACAGAAATACTAACTAATACTTGGATTCAGAAGAAAAAAATTATTTTCAGTACTACAAGTAAATACAAATTTAGAAATATTTCAAGAGATACTATTATATTTCACTGAAGTAAATGGTTACAGTAAAGCAAGTTATCCAGCACCTTTTTAAAAGCAAATAGCATGCTGGCACTAACAGTGTCTATACTCTATGTTATTAATACAGTTAAAAATGTTTATGGTTAAGTGGAAAAAAAAAAAAAAATGGAGATAAGATGAACAATAAGTTAATTTTCCTTCTCATTTGAAAACATGAAAATGAATCGTCAAATTTGTCTTTTGGATTACTATCAGCCAGCTCAGCAACAGTACTCTAAAGAGTTTTATGGAATGAATCGATTACTTTATTCATAATATCTCTGTACCTGGAAGCCCTCGCAAGGAAAACACAGTAATATACATTGAGTATCATAACACTCGAAGCCCGCAGTTAAAAAAAGAGTTCTGGCAACTTTTCAAATAAATTAAAAGCACACCTTTCTAATGACACTTCCACATTGGAATAAATTGCATCTGTGCATGGAGCAAATGATACAAGAGTTGACGATATCCCTCCATATCTACATATTCACTATCTGCATTCATCACTTAAAAAAATTGTCAATTTCATAAAAAACATAAGGCCAGGATTAATAATACATGAACAACCAATCTCATGAATTCACCTGCACTACGAGAATGTTTGCTTTCTCAATCCAGGAATGACCTGTTTATGCCTATTCACCCTTTGTTTTCTTTATGCTTGTTGGTGTCCAAGCGTGGATATCTTTTAGAAATTTACAATTCTTAAGAGAAATTTGATGTACTGCAGTTATCAACATAAGTGCTACGATTTAATAGGTGGCAGATATGGGGAGAGGACAGTAAATGAACATTAGTTGCCTGACTTTTCTTTAAGGGGCAATTGCGTCCACAGGCTTCCAGTGCTTACCAGGCATTAAATATTGCATATTCATGGCTTCTTCCTTTTCTCGTTCACTTCTCAGGCAAATTGCTGCAGCTGAGAAGAGTATGGCAGAAACCAGTGCCCATCCAACACCAATCCAAGCCACAATGTATGACCAGTCATATGATATGTATGAGTTTTCCCTCAGCACCTTCATTTTGTGTTAAATGAAAAGCAAACCAAACAGCACTGTGTTAATAAATGTTAAACAATAGGAGTATAGCGAGCCAAGAAAATCTGAAAGCTTGATTGGACATATACCATTAAAAGTGTTTAATTAAAATGTAATTGTAGTAAAAACTACATATTGATTGAATTCTAGGAACTATCAGGCATTTCTACCATTAAGAAGAAATGAATGATGGTTCGAAATGCAAATTTCAAGTGTATTTGATGCGATTGCGAAAGGTTTCTGATGTTTCAAAATTATGCAAACAAAATGACATAAATATATTTTAAGTTGATATTGTTTATATGAAGAAGAGGTTTTTACGGGATCAATTATGAAACATGCTGTCAAGCATTTTGCAGTTTTCTTATTAGTTAGCAAACATTGGAGGATTACAATGTAATATTCAATTAATTTAATACATGGGTATAGATCAATTAATGGATTATGTTGGCCACAAGCTTCCAGATGTTTCCAAGGCTCCAGCTATACCTGGCATGATGTACTGGACATTTCTTGCTTTCTCTGCCTCACGCTCAGAGCGCAGAAAGCTGGCTGCACTGAAGAAAAGTGTGGAGGAGGCGAAATAGAACCCCACACTGATCCAAGCCAGGAAGTATGACCAATCATACCAGATTGAGGTTTCTTCTTTCAAAGCCTGATTTTTTTCAACAAGTAAAAATTAAAAATAATAATATTCTTTGATGGGATTTTCTCATAATTCTTCTATTGGGATTTTTTGACATCTTCAGTAAAAAAAACAACAATTAAATGCAACAAGGAAATTTTATGTAATTAGTCTAAAAATAAATTGATAGGCAATTGTATATACTTTTAAATGAAATTTAATAATTGAAACTTCTTAAGAAAGTAAAAACATATTAGGTACATTTTTATAACTAATCGTCAGCTCATTTAATAATCAACACTAAATCAGAGTACACTTACATCATTCATAATGTGAATGCAAAGGGAAAGAACGAAAAAATAAATTATACAGAAGAAAATACTGTAAATTATTTTGAGAGAGTTAAAACTGAATTTTCAAAATTTATTTCATAATGGATGCATTAGATTATTTTACATAAAAAAATATATTGAACTACCAAACAACTGTAAAAGTTTAAAGGAAACTCTTGTAATAACGAGTTCTTTCCATTCATTAGCAAACGTTACCATTATTTTCAACTATAATGAAATTTAAAAGAAAGTATAGAATTTTTTTTACTGCAATCATAAAATGCAATTAGGAATTTAATAATATATCAAATTATATCAAGCCAATTTAAGAGAAAAATAGTTATATTTTGTAAAATGAAATAAAGGATCTCTCATCCCATACTCACTGAATTCCATTGTTGATAAAATTCCTCACCAACCACTTTCTCTTTCTCATAATACTCTACACCATGCCAAAGTCCCATTCCACCAGCACTCAGCAGGCCTGTGGGAATAAAGAAAAAGATTAATTTTTTAAAAAATGTATTGATTTCGAATTCAATTGAAAAGTTTTTTCTTATTTCACTGGTACATTCCTTAGAGTGAAATGAACAATAATGCACCTTCATTCTCAACCTCAAAGAACGTTTTAATATATTGAATGGAACCTCAATTAATTCAATTAAGACCTTTATAAGCAGCAGCTCACAAAATAATAATGAAGTGGGTGCCAATCTAGACAGCTACACCAAATAAATCAGTTATTACATTACCATTAACACAAAACATTGAGTTTTATAATCAGAGCCATCTGAAACATCATCATCATTTTGTAAACCACAATTCTTAATGACATAAGCTGCTATTGGTTAATTAAAATTCTGTAAAACTGATTCCACAACAATGAGAATTGATGTGTTTCATCTCTTTTCTACATGTACTGTAATAATACAGTTCAGAAACCTGCAAATGATCAACATTTTGAAAGGTGTACATGATGTGAATTGGCAACTTTCTTTAGGGAGGCTGAATACATTCTCCAAATGCTCTCGGGGAAACATTCATAACTGCCTTTCCAATTTGAAATGTGCAGTTGAACAAATGCCTACCTTTTATATTAAGATTGAAGTCACAAGAAAACAAAATACTCTACAATATATTGAAATATTGTTCTAGTCTCTAGGTACTGAGTTTCATACAAAAAACTTTAAAATAAACATCTTTAAAAACCAACAGATTATAGGTAACATCAAAGCAGGCTTTTGCAAATGACACCTTCAGAAGAAAATTTCTGTAAATTTGATTGTTTTATCTCTTTTAATAAAGATAGGGAAATTTAACCCTGGAATACGGTATACTTCCATTGTTGAAGTCAGTGTGCTACTTGAAATTGTCTAATATTACATACCAGAGGTTAACACCCTCTTTATAATCTGGAAATATATAGGCATACTTCACTATTTTATCCTATCAAACAAGATCATGCAAACCATATTTAATCACTTCATATCATATCGTGGAGGTACAATTAATAGTTAGCAATTTAACACATTAGTTATAACATTTAATTATGTATCACATGGACCTGCACGCACCTCCAAGTAGCAATATACAATAAAAGTCCTTCTACAAGGTTTTCTTTCTCTTCATAGGATTGTCAGAAATATGAGGGGCAATCATAACTCCCAAGAATGTCCTCAAATTCAGTAAACTCACTTTTTATTCACAACCTATCAATATAAATGTTATTGCTGATAAATTTACTCAAACATTTTAGGTACCAGGAACATCTGAGCTACTAATGCCTTAAACTCTATGTTAAAAAAAACTGGAAACTATCATAACAAAGAAAAAAATAAGTTTAAAATATAGCAAGAAAACTGAATTCAAAAAAATTTACTAAAATGTTTAAACAAAAAATATAATGTAAATTATTATTGTAAATATTTTCACACCTTTCTTGATCACAAACTAAATTCTCAACATTTCTCTCTACACTAATCTCACTGATTTTTTGCCCAACTATTTAATTTTTTTCAGTAGTTTTCTATCTCTTTCACTTACAGGCCAAGAGCATAAGAATGGCAGTCGAGGTGATGTTTCCAGGAGATCGTCTCCAGCATCCAGCAACACCAGTCCAAAAGGCAATGAATACAACAAAGAAGGCCACAATGAACAATGCAATCATTGAACGTCCCATGTCTGAAAAATTGTAATGAGAAAAATTAGAACTTTTAGTAATTTTTAGAATATGTTGTTCTTTTTTCAAGGATTTAATAACTTTATTAATAAAGATTCTATTTAATTGTGTAACATTATAGGTACTTACGGAGTCTTGCCATGGCATCATCAGAAAATTGTTTGGTGACATTGTCCACGTCCGGTATATAGTAGTCTACGTTATTGCAGTGTGTCTCAACTGGACTCAGATATGTTTCCACTGAAAAAAGAAAAATGCAATGAATATTCCAATGAGTACTGATATCAACAAATTGCATGAATGAGTAAAAGTATCAAATATAAACCTTTCTTTATCCTCCTGACAAAGAAAAAGGAGACCAATTGTGTTCATACTCATTAGCTCATAAATATTTTGTAAATGGCAAAAAATATTTCATGGAATGTGTAATATGTTGGCAGTATTCAATAAGAATGAATACTGAAAGAACTCTTCAGATTTTTAAATTAAATATATCATATATTTAAATATTGAAGATGTAAATCATTTTAATCTGCCAAGGGCATAGACATTAGTCTATATTGACTAGGTAATTGTAATCTGATGATGAATGGAAAGGAATGAGGAAAGGAAAACAACTCATATTACATGTAAGATTGAGTTATAAATAAGTCAATAATGAAAATACTGGTACTATGTCACTATGTACTTTCTCACATTATATATTATAATAAATATATAATATTATAATACTACTTGAACCAGCAAAACTGCTACCACCCAACAATGTTTTTGCCCAACTGTTTTTAGGTTTACCAAGCTATGAGTGTTAACACCGAATTATATTGCTCAGACTACATGACAACCTTTTACCCAAAAAAGAAAGTTTAACGTGTATAGAATTTCTCAAGAGACAAAATTAAGAGATTTCAATGGAAATCGACACTGTTACAAGAGTACTTTGCTCTATCTGAAAAATAACAACAACAACAACAATAATAATGATAATAACAATAATAATAATGGTAATAATAAAAGTAAAAAAAACTAGCTGTCGCAGTGCGTTGACCTCGTAGTGGGGAAATCTGAGTTCGATTTTTTAGTCTGCCATCCTGACCGGGGTTTTCGTGGTTTCCCCTCGTCAAATGCTGGATGTTCAAAAGGGCCACGATCAATCATACTATCATCAGTGGCATTCTTTGTTATTGAAGCGTGTTGTCAACGCCAAGGAAATAAAAAAAAATCCCCCTTGGTTATTTAGATTTTTTCATTTATTCGGACTTCCCTGCGATTTGCGTCGTAGATCGGCACCAGTGCGTTCATGCAATTGCAGACAGTGAGCAAGCGTAGTTCAGGCCGTTGGCGAATGTCTCCAGCCGGCCGCTAGAATTCTCTTCCTGACAGCGACTGAATTTGACCTAGCTAATGTAGGAATACCTGCCACCGTCGGGACTCGAATCTAGGACCTCCCGGTCAGAGGCGCTGCAGGGACATCAGTTGATGCCCCAAGACACCTCTCCCAGTATTAATCAGTTTGAAAAAAATGTTTTAAAGAAGCAAGTTTGCAGTCAGGTGAACAATACTTATTACTTACAGAACCCAAGAGATCAGAGGCTCCCACCAAATATGGATTCAAGGGATGGGCAGGGTCGGGAGTGTGTGAGTGAGTAACAAACATTGGTCGGAACACTGATTTCAAATTCTCAACTCAAGCAAGAACCAGCTAAGCGAATTCACCAAATCCGATTTAGTTTGATACGAAATATTGCAAAGTTACTTATAAAAACAGTACTCATTTCTAGGTTTGAGTTTTGTCCCTACTCCTATTTTGTTTCCCTTAAAAACAGATACTTCTGCGCTTCAACCCTTGCATCTCACATATTCGTTCGACAAAATCTGCTAAGGGTTTGTTGCTTGTCTTGTCAGAGGCGCCGGCCGCCAGTTTCGACACACGGTCACGCACAGCTCGGGCGCGCCGCGACGTCGGAGCAGCTTCGGGCGAAGCGGCTAGGAATGCGGCGGCGGGCGGGTGACTCGGTTGCAGGTCACGCGTAGCGGGACCGCGCGCGCGGTGGGCACCTCAGCCGCCGCCGCCTCCGGTGCGGTTGCGCCCGTGGCGATGGAGGTCACGGCGGTGGCGATACCGGCGGCGATGGTGGTGGCAGCATAGGTGATGTGGTGGTGGAGGTGGCAGTATAGGTGTAAGAGGCGGCGAGAATCTGCTGAGTCCTGTTGGAGGCGGCGGTGGAATCGGGGTAGCAGAGGCAGTTATAGTGACTACAGCTGGCCCGCCGCCGGTGCGGCCGTGCCCGCTGCGCCGCTGCCGCCGCTGCGGTGCCGCGTGCGCGCTGCGCGGTGCGTCGCTGCGACGTGGTGCCTGCCGCGCAGCGCCGACCACACGACCGATAACCTCAAGGCGATTCGGAGCAGGTGAGCGCGCGCGTGCTTCCTTCGATGCCCGTTCGCTGCAGTGGGGGCGTCCAACTACGATTCGGCGTTGAAGGCGGGCGTCGGGGGCGGCAGGCGGAATCGGGCTAGGAGCTGAATCACGTGACTGACGGAGTGGGTTTCTAGGTGGTTAGAATTTGCAATGAAAGGAAGCTCTTCTGAATTCGGCAGGTAAATGCGCGCTTGTATAACTGGCCTCTTACGTTCTTCTGCACAACAGGTGGTAATTATTATTATTATATTATGTATTATTAGAATTAAATATCATCGTCTCAGGGAGTCCAATGAAGCTTTTTTTTACTGAGCTTCTATCGAGAGGTGAAGCGAGAATTTTTATTAAAAGTGAATTTTTGATGCGCAGACTGGCAGAGCAATTTTTGGGGGTTTTTGAAATTTTTACGAGATTACACGGAGACATAAGGTGACTTTTACGAAACTACCGACCAATATCAGGTATACTCATACTGAGTCAAACTAATAGCTAGAAGGCGAGTTGGTGATCGTATGCAAACATCAAGTTAAGTTGATCGCATTCTACCATTTATATCTTAAAATTCACGTGTTTGATTGTATTTTTCAACATTACTGATTTTATTACTTACGTAGCGGACCCCGACAGATTTGTCCTTGTCCAAAGATTTGTAATGTGACAGTTTTTTTGTTCCTACATAGTTTATTAGTATGGGCAAAAAAATTTCCTGACAGAAAGTCCACCCTGGTGATAGGCCGTTTGTGAATAGAAATATAATTTAATTACAAATATATAAGCATTAAAAGTAATATGCTTTATTGTTCAAACCATGTTGAATAATCATTATTAAACAAAATCAGTTTTATTTTATTGTAGTGCTTTGTGATATACAATGATTTTTGTTTGA